TTTTCACCATTACAAACAGACCTATGGTGAACATCCTATGAGTAAGTCATCATATATATTCCTCTAGGTAGTTTCTTAGAAACATTGTAAGACCTTTACACATACCGAAGCATGACCTACAGAAAATGCTTAACAAAATGCATTCCCTAATATAATATATGAGAATATATATTTTCATTGCACCCTCACTAAACTGAGTGCTCACTTTTAATAATCATTAAATATATGTTAGGCAAAAACCAAAACAAACAAGATACCCAAAAGCTGAAGTCGCATTTCTCTGTCAAGCTGAGCATCTTCTTGTTTGTTGATTACCTATACTCCTTTTAAGAGGAAGAATGTATTTTTCCCTTTTGCCCAATTCAGTGTTACGCCTGGTTCTATCTGATATCTTCCAGATATGAATTGTTTGCCATATTTTTGGACAGTTTTCTCATGCTATCTTCTAATTTTGTTTCTGGGATCAAATAGATCAAAAAATCATTGCAGCATCAATGTTGTGTTTACTTTTTCTTTCCATTACTTCTTTTTGCTCACAAGGTCCTTTCAATTGAAACATAAAAATAAGGCCATTTTATTTATTATTCTTCTTAAGCTTTATTTATTTATTTGTTATATTTAAGTTTTGACTTCGTTGAGAACAATGTTTGTATACAGAGAGAAAAATATATACTTTGGATCTAATTCACCATTTATTGGACAACCAATTAATTATTTGTCCTCTGATTTATGAATCCATTCTTGTTTTACACTAATACCGAGATATAATACAATCTGTTTCCACTAATTAACATGTTGATAATCTGTGGTTTGTAATATATTTTCATTCAGGAGAATCAATTTCCCTTTCTTTCTTCCCTTCCTTCCTTGGTTTTTGCTTTCTTCCCTTCTTTTCTTTCCTTCCTTCCTTTCTTTGACATGTATTTTTTTAGGATTTAGTATTCCTTTTAATTTTTCAGCAATTTGACTTGTGCTTTATAATTATTAATACTATAAGTGCTCTTTGAAAATGCATAAAACAATGAGAAAATAACAGGGAAGAAAACACAATTCCTTCTCCCACCTTTTCCTGAAATTCACACCATTTTTTTCTGAGCAAGTATTTTCAGGATTTCCATAGTGAGCAGTTTGGAAGCTTCATTACTAATTCCTCCTTGACAATAGAGTATGGTCTCTTTTGTCACTATGAAATATAATAGATGCAGCTTATTACAGGATCAAAACTTATTTTAAAAAAAATCACAAAATTTCATCTTAATTGCCCTCAGATTTTGATTTACAGTATCTCATGACATGTAAAAATTAAGCTAACGAACCAGACACTTGTAAAAACTTTTATACTGCAGTTCTAATACACCAAATGATGTCTTATTTTACTGAAAACATTATCCAGTAACTAATATGCCATAACAGTGCCCCTGGTAGCATGGTAATCACCTTCAAGTACTTTCGCTTTCTTTTTTTTATTTTCTAACGATGAAGTATTTTACTTCTCCAAGCACATCACAAAGTGTAGTGCCACTTAATTCTTAAATACATTTCTGTATGTATTTATTCAACACTATCTTAGTGATTAGAGGTGGTCAATAAACACCTGCTGAATGGAAGAAGAATGAATGAAACATAGTACTTAAATAGAGTGCTATACAAAATGGCACATTATTAATAACTACGTTGGAGTTTTTAGAAGTGGTTGATGGAGGAACAAATGTAGGCTTTTTATTCACAGCAAAGCCAGGGAAATGAGTAGTGGGCACATGTGATGTGTGATTTATTCATACATGCCAGTGGGAGATTTATAGGCATATATTAACCTACTTGAGTTCCAATTCTGTCTTAGGCTGGTCTTTTGTCATGATTAGCTATGTTGTCATCCTATGTTAAATAACAGGTTGTCTGAACTGAAATATGCAAGAAATATGAAGACAGAAGTCAAAAATTATTATATACGTACATAGTTCCAGTTAAGCCATAGCTATATCTCTGCTTGTGTGTGTTACAAAAATTAGACATGTAGATACATTTGCACAAAAACAAAGGATTTCTTTTCTGAATCTGAGATCTATTTTTAGTGAACTAAAGTATATCTCAAAAAATTCCTATGTTGAAGTATTAATTTCCATAATCTCAGAATGTGACCATACTTGGAAAAAAGATCTTTACTGAGATAATTAAATTTTGTGTTTGTGAGTTCCTTTTTATTTGTTTTGCCACACTGGAGATTGAACCCAGGGTCTTGCACATGCTAAGCAAGTGTCCTACCACACAGCTATGTTCCTAACTGAAATTAAGTTGATACGAGGTCATGGGGTGAGGTGTAATTCAATATGGCTGCTGTCCAGATAAGAGGAGATTTCATCACAAACATCAACAGAGGAAACACAGCAAAAATATACTGGGAGAAGACACTGTCTGAAGGCAAAGCAGAGAGGCCTCAGGAGAAACCAAACCCACTGACACCTTGATCTTAGACTTCTAATCACCAGAACTGTAAAAAATAAGTTTCTGTTATTAGGCTACAAAGTCTGTCATACTTGATTATAGCAACATTAGAAAATTAAAACACTCTAGACATATTCTAGGAATAGAATAGTGAACCACAGAGATGGAGAAGGGGCTGTAGAAACAGGAATAAATTAAGAGTGACTTTTAGGGTTAGGAAAGTTTCTGAGGAAGAAGAGGAAAGGAAGTGGAGGCCTCAGTAGAAGAAAGGTGAATTGACATGATCAACATATGATGTATATGTATCTGGAAATACCACAGTGAACCCCACTAATTTGAACAATTAATATATGTCAAAAAGAAGCAAAAGAGAAAATTAATATAAGGTTGTTTGTTTAAAAAGAATGAAAATTATTTCATTCTTTCTGTCTACTTAATTTTGGAAAAGATGAATTATATTGACATGCAGTAGTTCTGATCCAATCCTTCTTTGTGGTAAAATGCCATGAAAGCAAGTGGCTGCATTAGCTCTTAGACACTTCTCATTTATTCCTTTTGCAATGGTAGAAATCCAGCCTTCATTGATTGCCCATTGCTGTACTCCATTTTGTGTTGCTGTAACAAAATACTGGAGGCTCATGATTCTGGTGGCTGAAGAATCCAAACAGCACAGTGCTAGTATCCTGGTGAGTGCCCCCACCTTATGACAGAGTAACACAAAGGGAACTGGTTTCATGCACAAGCGGCACATATTCACATATGTGAATGGAAGCAAAAGATAGGGGGAAACCAGGCCTTTGCTTTATGAATCAACTTGCTCTTAAGGGAAATAATCCTCTCTTACTAAACCTGACCCACTCTTTTGAGACAGCATGAATTCATTCATGGCAGTGGAAACTCCACGACCTAATTACCTTCCAGTAGGTCCTACTTCTTAAAGTTTCTACTACCTCAACATCAACACATTAGGGACCATGATTCTAAAGCATGAGCTTCTATGGCACAAACCATATCCGTATCACAATTCCCATTTCCATCCGATGACCCTACTGTATTGACTAAGGTAACATACCATATGGTTGAGCATTTAAAGACCTTGGACACACATCATCAGGCTTTGAAAGGTTGTTCATTCATTTTTCCTTGAGGCATTAAAGTCACTTGTGTGTTTCCTACCAGTGTCCTTAGGGACATAATATATATAGCAAGAGAAGTGTATGGAAAGGAATACTCTCTACCCACCCTCATCTCAGCTTCAACCCAGCTTTGCAAAGGGTAGGAATGAGGTGAAAATTTTGTGACTGTGATCTTGGTATTGCCAAGATCACATAAAAATCTTATGTCCCAAGATCACATTCTATTTGCCCTGACACAGGACATATGGTATTTTTACAGAGAACTACTACTATGATTTATCAGTTCTTCTGAACCCATATTTCCCTGTACTGGCCACACATCCTCCCCATGTACTGAAACTAACTCTTGAGCCAGGTTGGATTTGCTGTCATGCTCCAAATCCGTAACTGTAAGATATATTTCTTTGCATCATCTTAATAAAATAACATGGGAATAAAGTTCTATAATAGCAATAGAGAGAAAAAAAGTCCTAATTTTCCATGCTTCATGATTCAGAATAATTAATTTAATAACTGTGTCATATGAGAAGAGTAAATAAAGAGAAGGAAAGGGGTGTGGGTTTATATGATCACTGAAGCATGTACAATTGCAAGGAAAAACAAATTACCAGGGTAGTGCTGGAAATAAAAGCTCAGTGGGAAATATTTTTTGAATGCTAATTTGCTTCTTCTATTGAGGCTTAAAGCTGCAGTGTCTAAGAGTACACTGTTTATCTTTACTTACTTTTTTATTTTTAGCTGTTATATAACCTGATGTCTCTGAAAACCAATTAAACACCTTCCTGATCTATTAGGCATTTTCCTTAAGTAGCTGTCTACTTAGACTCTAAGAGGACTATGCTTTCATTTATGACAGCTTGCTCGAGAGTGTTTCATCATCAGAGATATTTCCAAAAAAGTATGAAATTAATATAGGATAGGAGAATCAAAATAAACGCTATTCTCTCTGGGCACAGTTATAGTCTCTGGGGTTTGGTTCAGATTAAATACTGCAACTCTATACCTAACATGAACAGTTTGTTTCTCTTGTTATTACCATCCTTAGATTTGCAAGAAAGAATTATTTCTGAGTAGCACAATTCAAGCCTAAGTCCCAAGCCATAAATATAGGCTTCTAAAGTGAATAAGTAATTATGTCCATTAAACCAGCAGATATCAAAGTAAATCTTCTTTGACTTGTTCAGGTAAAACATAAACCTTATCTACTCTATTTCCCTTGTTTATTTGTCAAATGCTAATGAGACATCAGCCTTGTTTCTTATCAGTCTTGTTCCTTGCTATAGTAAGACTCTCAATTCTACCATTAAAACAGCAGGACTCTATGTACCCCAGACACTGCATATTTCCAAGACTTGCTACCACCCTCCATATCTGGTCCTCACTGAGGGCCTGCCCTTTGCAGCATTGGCTGTGGTGACTTACCGACAGTGCTTATGGGATCCTGTCAGGGTTTCTATAACAAAGCACTCTCCATCATTGAGACAGTATGCAAGGTCCTTGTCACGGCAGGGCTTGAAGTGCTCCGACCGCTCAGTAGAATATGTTGTCGTATCTGTCAAGAAGAGCAAGTGAAATCTGTCAGCATGAATTCCAGCACCAACCACTCCTGTCCTTGGCCTGACTGTGTGTATCCAGGACTGTGCATGGGCTGTGACCATGGACTCAAGACAGACAGGACTGACTCTCCATGGCACTGACCAACACAGCTGGTTTTACCCTTTCCATTCACCTATTTTATAATCAACATTCCAGACAAAGTTCTGCATCCTAGGATTAAACCAACCCCAGATGGAAAGTATTTGGAAAAAATAAACTGAATTTGTACTAAACATGTGCAAGCTTTTTGTCATGTTACTATCCCCTAAACAATAGAGTATGACATCCAGTCACACACTATTTACATTATTAGATATTATAGCACTCTAGATATGATTTAAAGCATATGGGAAGATGTACATAAGATATGCAAATGTTACACCATGTTATATTAAAGGACTTAAGCATCCAGGTGGTTGCCAATTCAGCAGGTGTCCTAGAGCCAGTCTTCTGAGGAGAAGGAGGGAAAACTATTTCCTCACTAGATTTTAAAATTGGAGTCACTCTTTCAGTAACCTATCTGAGAGCATATTAACAGTAAAATTTGAATCATCCTGAGTCAGACAACCCAATTCACTTTAATTCATTTAAGTTTTAACAAACATGTCATATGGATTGAATCAATATATCCTTCGCCTTATTTTCACCAAATGTCATTAAATATCTGATCAATGCATATTGTGACTGTTCTATGAAGACTCATGTCAGTTTTAGGGATTTTCTAGGTCCTGCTATGATTGGCTGATATCAAAATCAATTATTCTTTTGCTTTCTCTTTTTGTTATGTAATTAAAATGCAAATGTTCCAAATTCTGAAGCAGATATTCACATGCGAAGAATGTTTCTTGTAAATATTTAACAGGACTAAATTATTGTCATTTTGTAGCATTTTCTTAAATGTGTACTTTTAAATCATAATTACTTACATTTTTAATTAAGCTACACCTTGATATCTGCTTCCCAAATATAAAACTAACCATAAACATGCACTATCTTCAGAATACAGACTATTACTACATACAGACATTTTTCTAGTTACCGAGTTCTGAGTAACTAAAATATTAACACCAATGCCACTGTAACAGTTAAGAAAAAATGTATTTTGAAAGTAAAGGATGAATAAATTATTCAGCATTTAAGCTCTTTTAGTTTCCTTTTCAGACATCTAGATTAGTAATAAAGTTCAACCGCATGGCATACTAATCCAGCATGCTAACTGGAGTTCATAATAAACTTCCCTCCTGCTCATCAGCCACACTGATGGGAGAGTGATCATCCTAAAAGGAAGCCACTCATGTCTCCCCATGTCTAAATGGCCTTAGGGGCCTCTGCCATGGGAAAATCCTCAAAACCCTTAGGAGACCTAAGAAAGATATGGACCTTCTGTAATTTTGCCTATCTGGTCTCCTTATCTTACCCTCTAAATACACAATTTCTGTTGATTATTTTTCCCCCAATGCTCTTTTCTGTTAGGCCACCCTTCTCCATTCTTTTCTTGCTGGAAGACACTCATAGATCCTTTACAGAGTAGACGATCTTCCCCAGTGCCTCTTTTTACTCACATTATGCATTCAGCACTGTTATAGCTCATTTGTGTTTATCTGTCTTGTTAGTCTGTGAGTTTCTTCAGTGCAGGAGTTGCGGCCTAATCAGAATTGGTCCTCAGTAAAAATACCATCAATAAATCACATTTCTAACATCACCAGCCACTTAAATGCTATGAATGGAAGATAAGCTCATGAAAGATCTCATTAGAATCTTACCAATAATTAACGTATCTCTTAAAACAAAAAAAATACAATTTCACCTTCATGGTACCATTTGGTACAAGTTTTAGCATTAATGTATATTTCAAAAACCGTGCCTTCAGATTCACCTTGATGCTCACTCACATTCTCATATACTGTGGGCACTGAATAACAATGACTTTTGGTCATTGGGAATTTCTTTTTCCATTTCAAAGTTATCTGCCTGTTAATACTTTGCCACAAAATAAAGGCTCTGCAACACATTTCCCATTTTCCAGGAGATCTTCTGTATAGTGAAGATCTGTTATTCAAGGCAGAATGTGATAAGCAGCTACACAGAATCAATATCTTTCTATGGGAAATATTTAACATCCAAGAGCTCCGAGCAAAAAATTCAATATGAAACACTGCAGTTGACTGCTACCCTTACTGCTGAAGTATATTAACTCATGATCAGTTACTTAACTTTTCCTTTAGCTTCTTATTATCCATTTATTGATATTCACTGATCATTCCTCTATGAACAGCTTTTCATTAACATAACCTACAGCTTAAAAAGTGAGAACCTTATTTTATAATCAGTGATTTTAACAAGCTACAAACTCCAAATGCAATACAATAGCAAAATGAATTATAATCAATTAATTTCCATCTGACAATGGCTGTCTCCTCTGGTTCCCCTCCCCCCTATCCTACAAGTACTTTCCCATCATGGTATCATCTATCAGCACAACACAGAGGATCAGAAATCAGAGTAAATGGCTCTGGAAAAGTCCTGGATGGGAGAGCTCAGAGTGACCAGACTTAATATGTACTCAGAATTTCTATTTCCATAGTTTACAGAATCCACAAATAAAATTAAAATCTGCGTGTCTAGCTCTCAAAATGCCTTGACTGGTTTAAAATAAAACATCATTGGTATTATTATTTTATATAACTTAGCATAATAATCAATGATAGAATGATCCTCTTGTAAGAAGATAAAGTAGAATTATGAATAGTTTGGAATCCCAGCCTTTACCTAAACATTCTGCTAGATACTATCCATATAGTAACACTCACCTAAAATCACAGAGGTTTTGGACAAGATAAGATACATTTATCATGTGATAGAAGTTTGCTCTTGAGAATCATCATGCCTAAGATGTCAATAGAAGGATAAAACATGGAATCACCAGACTGCTATACTAAAACTAAGACCAGTTACCTATACTTTTGTTAAATAAATAATAAGCACATTATATCTAGTCAGGATTTCTAATACTTATAATCAAATAAAGCCTAACAAAGAGACAGTGATAATTTTGGATGATACCTTTCAATATTTATATATCTGCTTATAAGAGTATATACATATCTATCTATCTATCATCTGTCTGTCTATCATCTATCTCTATTTACACATATGTTTAACTTGTAACATAAAATATATTACAAAATATATTAATAGGATATAAAGTGAGATAAAAATCAAATATAAATTGTAATTGTTTATAATATTTCTGTGCCCTAAGGTAACACAGCATGCTATTGTATATCCAGGTGAATATTTTATTCTGGAAGGGAAACATGGGACATTTTTAAGAATGAGATAATAGATAATAGCTAACTCCAAACTGTTATACTTATGGCTCTAAACAACCTCGGGTATCTTAACAATCAGATATAGAATTCTCTCCTATAAATGTGTCCAACACTTTTGGAACCCATTTATATTTTTAAAAATTATATCATGAGCCAGACGCTGGTGGCTCATGCCTATAATCCTAGCTACTGAAGAGGCAGAGATCAGGAGGATCGCAGTTTGAAGCCAGCCCAGGCAAAAAGTTCACAAGACCCTATCTCGAAAAAACCTAACACAAAAAATTGGGCTGGTGGAATGGCATAAGGTGAAGGCCCTGAGTTCAAGCCCCAGTACCGCCAAAAAAAAAAAAAATTGTATCTCTTCAGTAGGAAAAGGGGACCAGGAACTAGAGAAAAGGTTAGATTAAAAAGAATTAACCTAGAAGGTAACACACACGCACAGGAAATCAATGTGAGTCAATGCCCTGTATAGCTATCCTTATCTCAACCAGCAAAAACCCTTGTTCCTTCCTATTATTGCTTATACTCTCTCTACAACAAAATTAGAAATAAGGGCAAAATAGTTTCTGCTGGGTACTGAGGGGGTGGGGGGGAGAGGGAGGGTGCGGAGTGGGTGGTAAGGGAGGGGGTGGGGGCAGGGGAGAGAAATGACCCAAGCCTTGTATGCACATATGAATAATAAAATTTTTTTTAAAATAAATAAATAAATAAATAAATTCAAGTAGCACAGAAAAACAAAATCTGTTATGACTTCAAAATTATTGAGGGAGTTTTTCATGAATTTGAAAGAGGTGAAACACCTACTATAAACAAGATGTCGAGCAGGCACTGGGCGAACTTCACATACAAAAAGACTTGGACCTTGTTTTGCTTTTCTGAAAGTTTTTTTATAGTCTAATAAAAGATAAACTATAAGTTACTTGAGTATGGGGTCTTTCGAATTATATGATAGAAAAATAAGCAAATAATCCATGTTGTGACCTGGGAGGTGGCTATGGTGATGTGTACATATGCAAAGAGTCACAGCACCATACTCTTAAAATTATAAATTTTCTCTTACATTCAGGTATAATTGATATGGCTCAACTTAAAGAAAAAGAGGCATTAATTCAAGATTAGAGGAAGAAAGAGTTAATGACAAAGTCATAACTCATTAGTACTTTGTCTAATTGGATAGCTAGTTGCCATGATTTACTATAGATTTGCTTGATATTAAAGTCTTGACTTTAAACAGTAAAAAAAAAAAAAGAAAGTCCAATTAAGCTGGCTATATAGTATATAGTACAATTTTGTCATATGCTTAATGAAATGTACCATTTTAGAAATGTAATTTGGCAAGTTTGTTATAAAGCCATTAATTGTCTACAAAAATTATTTGGATGAAGGTCCAGATAAGTCAATATTCCCATGAATTCCCATTTGTCATTCAAGGCTCTTCTTTACGGTCCACTGCTAGAGACAGCCTCTTTAGTAGACATCACTCTTTCCACCTGCATCAGTTTAAGAGTATAGCTTATGACTAGACATGAGTTGCTGGGGAGCACAGCAGGCTACTTACATCTCTGATGCATGGTCTCATGGGTGGCTGAATACAAAAATGCACACAATAGAAGTTTTCACAATG